AATTTGTTATTCCCAGATTTACTACATGTACTTCGAGAATCCAGAGCTGTTTTGTCTTAAGGTTAACGTGAACAGAATCCTGATCCTAAAGTATTTTAGTACCAGTGGGGGAAAAGGCACGGCGGAATTTGGATAGTATCAAAAACAAGATCAACGTTGCGGGTAGTCTGACGATCTAGGATAAATTTAGTTTCCGCAGGTGGTGGAACGTCAGACCCAGAGACCACTTTGCCCGCGAAAACCCGTGGAAAGCACGGTTAGAAAATCATTCGCGCCAACGGCCCGGCCTCCCACTCCCCGAAACTACAAATCCCACAGGGCAGCGCGGCGAAAGCCAAGCAACGCGGCGGCCCACAGCCGCAAGGCCCACCAAGAGCAGTAGTCTTTCCGGGTGGGAATCCACGCCAAAAGGCTTACTGGAGGGATCGCGTGGTCAGTCTCGGCGCCTCCACTCAGCTCTGGGAAGAAAGCTCCGAGGCGCGGCATAGCTGTCTCCATGCGCACCGGGAGCTTTTCATTAGACATCAGAATGTCGTCCAGTGAAAGAAAGTTCTCTTCAACTCCTAGCGCACCCGACTCCACGGGGAAATAAGCCTCGGACATGGCGTTGGCTTGGACTTCTTCGTTTCTACTTGCGAGTGAGGGGTGTGAAAAGAAGATGCAGGTCCAGATTGTTAGGGTTGTGAAGATTGCCGAGGCCGTCTAGCAGGATTGAAACTACAGTTTCCCGCGCTCAGGATGGAGCCAGACCGGAGCAGTCGATCCAGGCGTGTCTCCCTCCTGGAGCCCAGGCAGAAGCAATCGACTGAGTGGATTCCTACTCATAGCGACCCAGAAGGGCAAAGTAGAACTGCCTCTTTGGGTTTTCTGATCTGTAAATCACAATGCCATAGAGTCGATCCGACTTATAGAGACCCTGTGGCGCTGTAGGGGCAGCGCTGAATTGCGAACCACAAGGTTGGCAGTTCAAGCCCACCAGCTGCTCCTCGGAATAGGGTCAAAACTAACTCGATGGCACTTAACATAGGATTTCAAAGGAGTAGATGGTGGATTTGAACTGCAGACTCTGCAGTTAGCAGTCCAGTGCTTTTCCTACAACGCCCCACCACGGAGCAGATAATGTTAAGTGCCTTAGAGTCGGTTCCGACTCCTAGCAACCCTGTATAGGTTTCCGAGGAGCGGCTGATGAGTTTGAAGCACCGAACTTTGCAGTTCAAACTGACCTCGTTCCTACAGCGCCACACCAGGACTCCCACATCTTCTGGAGTATACAGGCTCCTATATATCATCCGGCTCCCCAACCCCCTCCCACCCTATCAGTTGGCAACTCCTTTTGAGACAATTTAAATCCTTAAAATAAGTTTGATCAGTCCAGCTCATCTTTTTGAGGCAGACCACACTGATCATTGATTGCAAGTCACAGATGGGCTGCCTGTGTCAAGAGTCATCATTGGCTCAATGCGTGGAAGAGAATGCCTGCAGGAAGAGATCATGGTCATATGATACCAGACTTGGGGATGCTACTCAGCCAGGGTTATGGGTAGTAGCAGATGGTTGCGATGCACGCCCACCAGTTACCATCCAGTTAATTCCAACACACGTCTATCAGAGTAGAATTATGTTCCACTGGACTTTCTATGGCAAATTTTCAGAAGTTGATTGACAGACCATTCTTCCAAGGTGCCTCTGCTAACCTTAGGTTGGCAACTGAGAGTGTTTACCTGCTGTACCATGCAGGGACGCCAAAGAAATGCACTACAAAACTTATTTTGTATACACCTGCCTACTGCCGTTGAGTCTATTCCGACTCAGCAATCCTGTATGAAAGAGTAGGATTGCTCTTTAGGGTTTCCGAGACTGTAAAAAAAAAAAAAAAGAAAAGAAAAAATTGTTAAAGTTTATTTATAGTAATACTTATAGTAAAATGTATCTATAGTAATACTTTTGACTTTCCCTGGCATATAAAAGTCACCTGGGGATGGATCTCTTTAAAATGTAGATTCTGATTTAGTATATTAGGGGTGGAAATGCAAATTCTCGTCTGGGGTAGAACCAAACGAACTGGTTTGAAGTGGTCATAAACTGAACACTGAGGTCCTAGGTCAGAACCCACCCTGCCCCTAGTTGGGGCTGAGGTTGATGTGGTTATGCTACAATGGGATCCAGCCTGTAGAATTTGGGTTTCAAGGGGTGGCTGCCAGGATTATCTCTCTGCTTGGGTGGGAACATCGGGGCAAGGTGGGGCCAAGGCCCAGGACAGGGAGCTGGGGTGGGCAGCCTCAGAGGGACAGCCCCCTTCCAGATGTCTGGAGAGTCTGCATCTCCACACCCATTGTACAGTTTGGGAAACCAAGGCTTGGAGTCTCAGGGGAGTCCTCGCACACCCTGCAGTGAAGAGGAGGGAAGGCTCCCCAAAGCAAGTCCCAAGCCTTTCTGCCTGTTTGTTCTGAGGGTGTTTGGACAGACAGTGGTCCTGGGACCCTCCTCCCAAATTCTAGGAAAGGAGGATGCCATCCTGAGGCTCTAAGAGGAGTTTTTTTTTTTTTTTTCTTTTTCTTCCTTCTCCACCTCTCCTTTCCTTTCCCTTTTTTTATTTGCAGTAAAGTTCCCAGTGGTTTGTTACAATGAGAAAATAAATGTGTTGTTTCCCTTCCAGTACATGGAAAAAACAAACAACAGGCAAAAGAAAAAAAAGAAAGAAATTTCCTTTCTTCTTCTTTTTTTTTTTAATTAAAAAAAAAAAAAGGCCTTCCCCAACACCCAAGTTAGCACTCTACCTAATGAATAATTGTCTCTTCCCCTGTCACCCCTGGTAACCATCATAGAATGTTTATTATAGAATGAAAACCTTTTCTTGACTTTTTACAGTAGTCGTCTCATACAATAGCTGTCCCTTTGCAACCAACTAATTTCACTCAGCATAATCTTCTCCAGGACCCTCCATGTTATGCAGTATTTTACAAATTAATTATTCTTCTTCAACGTTGTATAATATTTTATTATGTATAAGTACCAAAGTTTGTTAAACCACTTCTCTGCTGTTGGACATCTAGGCTACCTCCATCAATAGCGCTGCAATGAACATGGGTGTGCATTTCAATTCATGCACAGCTCTTATTTCTTGAGGATATATGCCACGTAGATAGATTGCTGGGTATGTAAATATTCCTATTTTCAACCTTCTGATTAAGTGCCATACCATGTTCCATAGCGGTTGCACCATTTTACAGTCCCAACAGCATTGCATGAGGGCCTCGTATTTTTTACAACTTCTCCAGCATTCATTGTTTTCTGTTTTTTGAACTTTGCTATTAATGCTTAGCTAAGATGATATCTCATTGTTGTTTTGATTTGCAGCTCTCTAATGGCTAGTGATCCTGAGCATTTCTTGACATGTTTGTTGGCCTCCTGAATGTCTTCTTTTGTGAAATGTCTGTTCTTGTCCTCTGACCATTTTTAAATTGGGTTATTTGTCTTCTTATTGAGGTGTTGAAGTGTTCTATACATTTAAAAAGTAGTCCCTTGTCGTTGCCAAATTTTTTTCCCCAGTGTGGGTGTTCTTTATTCTTTTGTTGTAATCTTTTGATGCATGTAAGTGTTTAATTTTTAGAGGTCCCAGTCATCTATTTTGTCTTCTGCTGATTGTGTGTTTTCGATTATGTTTGATAGTGTATTTATGCACCTTATATCAGAGCCCCTAAGTTTATCCATGTTATACTTCTAGGTTTTACAGGTAGGCCTTTAATCCACATTGAGTTTGTTTTTGCATATGGTATGAGATATGGGTCTTGTTTCATTCTTCTGCAAATGGGTTTCCAGTTTTGCCAACACCATTTGTGAAGAGACTATCTCTTCCCCATTTTAATGTGTTTTGTTCCTTTGTCAAAGATCAACTGAGCATAGGTGGATTGATTGATTTCTGGGTTCTCAATTCTGTTCCATTGATCTATGTGTCTTTCGTTGTACTAGTACCAGACTGTTTTGGCCACTATGGCTGTGTAGTGGGTTTTGAGATCAAGACGTGAGAAGCCTACTATTTTATTCTTTTTCAGTAATGCTTTGTTTATCCGAGGTCTCTTTCCTTTCTATATGAAGTTGGTGATTAGCTTTTCCATCACTTCAAAGAATGATGTTGGAACCTGAGTTGGAAGAGAATTCAGAACTGAATTGGCAGTCTCATCTTTCTAACCAAGGATCCATTGGTGGGCTTGAACCACCAATCTTAAGGTTAGTAGTCCAATGCTTAACCCATATAAAGGTATTTTTGGGGTTTACTAGCTCTAGGAGCAAGAATTAATAAGGGGGGGATAAAGTAAGTGAGTTAGGATCAAATTTTGCAAAGTGTGAAGAACTATTCTAAGAAGTTTAGGTTATGCCATAAAATTGGGAGCAAAATCATAAGTTTTTTTTAGCCGGTAAGTAACATGAACAAATCTGAACTTTAGGAAGAGAATTGTGGTGATAAGATGAAGAAGACAGAGGATAAGATGTGTGAAACCGGTTTAAAAGCTGATCAGTGAGGTACTTGGCAGCTACGTAGATATAGGATGTGAAAGACAGAGTGGGGTTAAAGATGATTCAACTTTTGAATCTGGTTGATCAGGTAGATGGAGGTGCCATTCACAGAGGTAGAGAGCACATGAATAAAGGCAGTTTGAGGCAAACCTTGAATTCCGTTTGGGACATATGTAGACAGGCAGGACTGGAACCCAGAGGAGAGATAAGCCTGGGAGTTGCAGAGTTACAGGCATCTATTTAAAATAAAGTAAGTGTTCCCCCTACAATTTTGAGTCCTGTGCCCCAGATGGAGTCCAATTAATGATTGCAACAAGTGAAACTGGACTTCTGGTGTGGCACCATAGGATAAGCACAGGACTGCAAGGTTGGTTTGAACCACAAAGTCAGTGGTTCAAACTCACCAGTCGCTCCTTGGAAACCTCGGAAAAAGGTGGAACCGATTTGATGGCATGTAACAATAGCAAGTGAAACAGAGAAAAAGAAGCTAGACAATGGAGCACCCTACAGCATCACACAGCTGTTTAGTGGGTGCTCACTTAACTCACATGGTGTCCTGGTGTGGTGCTGTGGGTTAATGCACTGGACTGCAAAGCCGGTTTGAACTTCAAGGTTGGCGGTTCAAGCTCACCAGTTGCTCCTCGGAAACCCTATACAGACCCAAATGTCGCTATGGGTCAGAACTGATTTGACGGCACTCAACAAAAACAGCAACTTAACTTATTTATAGGCAATTTTTATACTCCTTCTCAATGCTAGTCACGTACTGCATACAAGTGGGCTATAATTCTAACATATCCAGTAAATCACTAGGGAATCACAAGACCCCAGTAAACACCCTAAAGGAGAGGAGACCATAATTTACCATTTGGGTGTCTGCTTGTCCAGATGGTTGCTCTTTATCAAAGTTTGTGCAAACAGGCACCAGGCTCCTGGCAGAACAGACAATCGCTCCAGTCATGAATGGTCCATCCTAAATTAGCCAAAAACATACATTATAGAGCCAATGACAGGATGGGGATGACTTCATTTCAGGCCGTGCTGGTGATATTTACTGAGACCCAGACAACAATGATTGTGTTAGCACA